GGTAAAACTGCCACCCAAGCGCGTCACGGGGGAAGCCAAGGAAGACGCAGGGAATAGCACGAGGGGACTGCTTGTCCGCAGACAAGTCGCGAACAAACGCCCGAGATCCCCAGAACCGAAACGCAGACGCATCGCCAACCTTCCCGGTCCATCGCAAGGTGGGGGAGGTCTCTGGCAAGGAGACCCGGGGCTGAAGGTTGAGCTGATGCGCTGCGTACTGAACCGCAAACGGCCATAGAAAATGCGGGGCAGCCGCATAGATCATGGACGTACGAGCGACGTCCATGACCATGCCAATGCGGCGCTCAGCAATCCCATTTTGCTGTGGAGAGGCCGGAAGCGTGAAGGTGTGGCGGATGCCCTGTGCATGACAGAAGGCTCCCAAACGGGCAGAGGAAAACTCCCCGCCTCTGTTAGAGTGCAGACGCAGAACAGGAAAGTTTGAGCCGAAACTCTCTCTGAGCTGGAGACGAGCTGCGCGGATCCAGACGATCAACACCTCAATGACATCACCCTTGCTACGCAAGGGAAAGAGCGTGGTGTAACGCGAGTAGTCGTCAACCACCAACAGGAAGTAACGCTCGTGACCCTGGCCACGGACGCGGGCGGGGCCCCACACGTCCATGTGAAGAGTCTGCAGCGGAGCCTCTGTCGGAGGAAACTCGGAGGAGTGAGGGGCGGCGCGCTGTCGCCCCTCGACGCAGGGGACGCAGGTAGGGGCAGGCCCCGGAGGTAGGGGAGGGAGAGATCGGGGGAGACCAGAGACAAGGACACGGGAGGCCATGCCTCGGAGACGAGGCAGGGAGGGGTGACCAAGGCGGTGGTGCCAAAGGAGAGTCTGGTGGGACAGGAGACGACACGAGCAGGGAGCAGACTCAGGACCAGACCTGGACGCTGCAGCAAACACCTGACTCGACGCAGCTACCTGACCAAACTCAGCAAGCGGGGGAGACTCAGTAGTCAGTGTGTACAGGCTCGACCCCGCCCGACGGGTAAACGTGGCCAAGTGTCAGCCCGTCCGCGCACACGTACAGTGGGTCACCCGTTGACTCGCAGGAGTGAACTGGTCAACCCCCTGATCCTGTAGATCAGCATCGTTCACCAAGTTTGTAGAGAACGAGGAGAGGTAGAGACCTGACAGGGTGCCAGAGGGGGTTGCCGGACAGGGTAAGACAGTGGAGAAGCGAGCAAGGACAGGACCCCTAGAGGGGTCCGCCAGGGAGACCGCAACCGGCCGACTGAGCGGCGTAAATGTGGTGCGGTCTCGAAAGAAGGAGCGGGAAGCAATCGAGTCAAGAGTGAAGGTGTCTAAGGCCTGAGCCGAAGTGGTACCTGAGAGAGCACACTCTCCAGCACCTGGGGCAGCAGACGCACCAGCACCTAGAGCAGCAGCCTCACCAGCACCTAGAGCAGCAGCCTTAATGCCCGGGTCAGGCGGAACACACAGGTAGCAGTCACCCTCATCACTAGTAGGCAATGCATATATGGCAGTGAGGATAGCATCATAGTCAAGAGTATAGATATCTACCCGTAGCCGAAGCAGCTCCACCCAGTCGGGAAGCTCAGGTGCGTTGCCAAACTCCGTACGCCAGGCGTCGCTCAGACGGGCAAAGCAGCGGGACGTTGCGTGACCAAACGTCCCGCAAGGCTGACCAGTCCGAGCACCAGTGCGAATGACGTACGGACAGCGAGCAGTACCCCGTGACCCGTCAAGCTGAGCGTACCACTCACAAAGCTGCTGGGGCGAAAAGACCGCGCGCGGACGACGCTGAAGCTGCACCTGGCCACTACAAGCAGCTACCGAACTACTTACTCCATGACGACTCCCACTACGGCCACCCCGACAACCCCAACTAGCGTACCACTCACGAAGCTGTTGGGGGGTGAGGGACTCACGCGGGCGACGCTGCAGCTGCACCTGGCCACTACAAGCAGTTGTGGAACTACTCACTCCAAGACGACTCCCACTACGGCCACCCCGACAACCCCAACTAGCGTATTTCTCACGAAGCTGTTGGGGGGTGAGGGACTCACGCGGGCGACGCTGGAGCTGCATCTGGCCACGCCAGGAGCAGCAGTAGCAGTAGAAAGAGCAGTAGCAGCAAGAGCAGCAGTAACAGCAGTACGGGCAGGGCAATGCTCACCAGTGGCAAGAAGGGCAGGCGTACCACGGCGGCAACGGCGAGGCCGCTACCACTGTAGGGCAAGAGCTCCGCGGGAGCTGCAGGGGTGGCTGCTCCAGGGGCGGCAGTTGTAGGGGCGGCTGCTCCAGGGGCGGCTGCTCCAGGGGCGGCCGCTGCAGGGGCGGGTGCTCCAGGGGCGGCTGCTGCAGGGGTGGCTGCTCCAGGGGCGGCTGCTGCAGGGGCGGCTCCTGCAGTGGCGGCTGCTCCAGGGGCGGCTGCTGCAGTGGCGGCTGCTCCAGGGGCGGCTCGGCTGCTGGGCGACTCGGCTGCTCGGCGGCTCGGCGGCTCGGTTGCTGGACGGCTCGGCGGCTCGGCTTCTCGCTAGGGGCGGCGAAGGGGCCGGGTAGGGGCAGCAACGGGGCCGCTAGGGGCGGCGACGGGGCCGCGTAGGGAGGGGAGCGGGGACGGGGCCGCTAGGGGCGGCGACGGTGCTGCGTAGGGGCAGCGACGAGGCCGCGTAGGGGCAACGACGGGGCCGCGTAGGGAGGGAGGCGGCGACGGGGCCGCTAGGGGCGGCGACGGGGCCGCTAGGGGCGGCGACAGGGCCGTGTAGGGGCGGCGATAGGGCCGCGTAGGGAGGAAGGAGGCAACGGGACCGCTAGGGGCGGCAACGGGGCCGCGTAGGGGCAGCGACGGGGCCGCTAGGGGCGGCGTCGGGGCCGCGTAGGGGCGGCGACGGGGCCCCGTAGGGAGGGGAGCGGCGACGGGGCCGCTAGGGGCGGCGACGGGGCCGCGTAGGGACGGCGACGGGGCCGCGTAGGGGCGGCAACGGGGCCGCGTAGGGAGGGGAGCGGCAACGGGGCCGCTAGATGCGGCGACGGGGCCGCGTAGGGGCGGCGACGGGGCCGCGTAGGGAGGGAGGCGGCGACGGGACCGCTAGGGGCGGCGACGGGGCCACGTAGGGGCGGCGACGGGGCCGCTAGGGGCGGCGACAGGGCCGCGTAGGGACGGCGATCGGGCCGTGTAGGGAGAGAGGCGGCGACGGGGCCGCTAGGGGCGGCGTCGGGGCCGCTAGGCGCGGCGACGGGGCCGCGTAGGGGCGGCGACGGGGCCGCTAGGGGCCGCGAGGGGCCTAGAAGGGCGGCGACGGGGCCGCTAGGGGCGGCAACGCGGCCGCTAAGGGTGGCGCGAGGGGCCGTGAGAGGGGCCTCTAAGAGAGCTTGACAGAAGGGCGGCCCACAAGGCGTGCCTCGCGCAGGAGCGACTGGTGCTCCGGTTAGAAAAAAAAGTTTCAGTGGTGGGCCCAAGGAAGCGTTCCCTTTACGGAACCTGCTCTATACCATGTGAAGAAATGAGGAGTTGATGAACTAGCACAAGGCTGGGTACAAGTAGGAAACCCTAGGAAACTGTACCCCATAGTGTCTACCCCACTATAGCCTAGACAAGCTATATGATATGAGTTTGACACAAGGCTCTGTGGAAAACTAAATCAGGAGAGCACGACGACCTTCTCATTCGCGCCGTAGTGCACCCAGTTGCCTCTGAATGCCCAATTTTTGTACCCGCCATTGCCAGGATTCTCCACCGAGAACGGGCCCTTCTTGTAATACACCTTGAACTCGGAGTTATCCCAGAAGTGCCACACCTCCACCTGCGCGGACGCCGGGTCGCCCTGCACGGAGTGGTCGCTCTGATCTGAATGACAATCAAGTTGTAACCCGCGTTTATGGATATGTACACGATATTCTTGGTCGTCATTTAGACCATAGATCTTGTTCAAGCTTCCGGCAATGATCCGATCAACGGTCGCCCCATCCTAGTTAAACAGTTTCCCCTCCACCCTGTGCAGGGATAGCGCGGAATCCGCCCGCGCGAGCGCACAGCGGGTGGCGATGCTGCGGATTGCGCCGGTGGTGGGGGGGGACGCGTGCAGGATGGGGGGGCGCGCGATGTTGGCACTGGTGACGGCAAGGAGGAATAGGAGGTAAAGAGCGAGAGGAAGCAGCCAAGTGTTGGTCATTGAGAAACCTATTTGTAGATGGTCAGATGTCTGTTGTAGTAAACTTTGTGAGAAAGTAAAAATCAGCGATGCCAGGCTCATCTTGCACGTCAAAGCAAGTAAGAACCAAAGGAGAATTCAAGTATGTTCAGCCGCGAGGTGCTTGATATCCTAGATCGAAGGTAGAATGAAGGGAGCGAAGTGAAGTAGAAGCTGTGATAATTGCTGGTCACCAGGAGACGAAGCGTAAACCTTGACATAGCTTGGAGTCGGACTCCACATGAAAGAGGATCACGACTCGCTTGAGCCGCCATGACCCATGACTAGCGTAGGGATTACGCTTGAAACGTGATTGATACGCGAGGGATTGAGATTTTGGGGTCTGACAAGGCGGTCGGGTCGGGACTCGGGAGACTCGGGACGACCAGAGATTGGGGGGAAAGTAGCTACCACTACGGGAATGGCTACTAGGTGTGTGGTGTGGTGAGGCGTGTCTGGGTTGGAAGTGAGCGCGTGCAGCCAGCAGGTTGGTGGAATTGGTTGCTTCGCTGCAAGTGAGAATCAGCGACAACTGCCAGTCAGTCGGCGAAATCGATGAAGATGCCAAGGCACTCTTCGCCGAAGGCGATTCAGGGTAACATGTGCGATGTGAGCGTGATCTACATTCTCAATACAAAAAACGAGATCACTACAGCAATTTACAGAAAATAACTTCCACCTTTTTGAACATGTGAAACACTGTCTATGTGCATGAGGAAAGTCACTTTCTACAGCCTTATTACAAAGTTGAGCCTGCAACTGGCGTTGCTTTTTAATCAGCACGACAACCCCAAGCCTTTTTGGCAGACTGGGTGCGATCACTCAATCAACAGAGAATCATGACAAGCCAATCTGAAGTCATTTACGCTGCTGCACTTTTCACCTCCTCATCTACAGCAGCGAAGATGAAGGAGAGGTGCCGAGAGTCAGTATGCATATCCACCAGCCACACCACCAGACACACCTGCCACAGAGGCAAATGTGGCGTGCAGAATAAAACAAAACAACTGACAATCCAGAGGTTGCCTCTCCTGCAGTGGCTGTGCGTAAGGGTTGCGCGAATCATTGGAAAAGCAATAGCTGTTATGAGATATTATTGAGGATTCATGAGAGCGCACCAGTAGCTGTTATGGCGTGGGCGAGCGGGCAAGCAACCCATACTGTTCGAGTCACCTTTAAGAACTTCAAAAAAACTTCCAAAAACTCGCAAGGCAGCTCGCAAGGCAGCCCACAGCTCGAAAGGCAGTGCACCTGGAGCTGTTGTGGCGTGGGCGAGCGGGCAAGCAACCCCGACTGCTCCAACTGCTGCTGCACCACCGCCCACTCGCCTCCCCCTGCTGCCCCAAACCCACGTGCCCACGCCTGTCCCTTCTATCCATTCTGCCCTTCCAGCATTGCAGCCCCTATCGCCCCTCATCACTCTCTCCACCAATCACTCCCTCCGTATCCCCACTACCAGTCGTCATCCCCTCTCCCTGCAAGCACCCTGCTGCATCGCTCTCTGCCGCTTCTTCTCTTGCCGCTGGTGTCTCATGGCCGTCCTCGTGCCGTGATGTGGCTGCATCGCCCCTCGCTTCTGCTGCTCTCAGCCTGCCTCCTCCTGTTTCCGTCCTTCCACCCATGCTCGCTCCTTGTTCCGTGGCAGCAGCATTTGGATCAAGTGCAGCAGCAGTAGTCAGACACTCAGTAGCAACAGCTCTGGGATCAGCCACAGTGGCAGGTGGCGAGCCGCGGCACGGCAAGCACAGTGGAGGGATGTTGAGAGGGAGTTTGATCCGGCTATGGGAGGTGGTGCTTGGAGCGGTGGTGCTCGGAGCGGTGGTGGTGGTGGTGGTGGTGGTGGTGGTGGTGGTGGTGGTGGTGGTGGTGGTGGTGGTGGTGGTGGTGGTGGTGGTGGTGGTGGTGGTGGTGGTGGTGGTGGTGGTGGTGGTGGTGGTGGTGGTGGTGGTGGTGGTGGTGGTGGTGCGTGCAGTGGTGGCTTCAAGGCTGATTGCAGCGTTGAGCGAAGAGACTATGAGCCGCTGGTGGGAGGAACCGAATTCCCAAGAAGGAAGAAGGAATGGGAGAAAGGGTGATATAGTGATGGTACAGTGATACACATACAAATACAAAATCGAGAGTAGAAAAATGGAAGAACTTGATACAAAGAGGCAAGCGAAGACCTTTTCCTGTCACAGGTGCCCGGGCTATTGGAACAAGCCTGAAGTATTCCTAAGCTTCTTACTTTGTTGGAACTCCACTGCTTATCTAAGTGTTTGTTTCATTCCTCCTCATCTTGACCAGCAGCTCCTTGTGAAACATAGCTGCCACGTCCACAGCCCACTTCTCTGATGCACGTGTGAGGAGGGAGATGTGCAAGGAGGGAGATGTGCGAGGAGGGAGATGTGCGAGGAGGGAGATGTGTGGGGAGGGAGATGTGTGGGGAGGGAGATGTGTGGGGAGGGAGAAGTGTGGGGAGGGAGATGTATGGAGAGGGAGAAGTGTGGGGTCGGAGAGATGGAAATGAGGGATGAGTACGGTTGTCAGCCACGAATCCCTGACTGCATTCAGAATAGCAGACATGGCTGACGGCATGCATGAGGAGGTGAGATGTGCAACGGAGGTGAGATGAGCAACAGGATGTGAGATGTGCAACGGAGGTGAGATGTGCAACGGAGGTGAGATGTGCAACGGGAGGTTGGATGTGCAACGCGGCTCTTGCATCAGGTGCATGCAGGAGAGGTGGCATATCCGGGAGAGGGCAGAGGGGCAGTAAAGCAAAGCCGAGGGCTTCAACAGCTGCAGCCTGCGGAGGGGAGGAGAGGGGAGGAGAGGGGAGGAGAGGGGAGGAGAGGGTGAGGAAACAGAGGGAAAGGAGAGACGATGGTGGGGGGAATGCGAGTTGGGAGAATGCATGGGGGGGTTGGGAATCCAGATGGAAATGTAAGGTGATAGGAGTACGAGGCGGGGGGCACTAACCAACGTCCCCATCGCTCCCAACGCCCCCATCGCTCCCAACGTCCCCATCGCTCCCAACCCAACGCCCCCATCGCTCCCAACGGCCCCCAGTTATCCTACCAACGGCTTGGCCTGGCTCACTCACTAGTTCAAAATTGGAAGGTGCTGGTTGTCCCACCAATACGCTGGAAGCGCAAAGAGATTCCATACCTACTTGAAGATGCCTCGAAACAAGATAGAGGGAGGATTTCTCAAACCTGCTGCAAGCTCACAAGGCTCGACTCCCCCTCTCTTCCTACTCCTCTGCTCGCACCCCGCACCCCCTCACCCCCACACCCTCTCCGTTGACTCACAAGGCCTTTCAAGCAGCGGCGCAGCACACATAGATCCTCCTCCTGATGGGCCATGGTGGCATTGCATTATGCGCCGTGCCATGCCATGCAGCAAATGATGGTCGTGGGCGTACGAGGAGGGCAAGAGAAGAATGAGCAAAGTGGGGGAGAGGGTAGAAGAACAGAGCAGGGTTGAAGGAGAATGAGGAAGAGAGGGATGTGATGTGAGGTGAAGAAGGAGGATAGAGGGTTCGGCAAGAGGAGAGGGAGATGGGAGGGGCGGGGAGGTAAGGGAGAAAGTAAGTTGCGGATAAATGAGTGAGAAAGGGAAGGGAGGGCGTGGGGATGACACACACTGCTTCCATTGTAGTAGCAAACTTGAACACTAGAACGAGTCACAATAACACGAGTCACACAACAACGAGTCACACTACAACGAGTCACACTATAACGAGTCCCGGTACCACGAGCACCATAAGGCGTCCCGGTACCATGAGCACCATGATCTTCTCTGCTGCCCTCTCAACGATGCCCGCCATGCCCCCCACCGCCCCCATGTCCTGGCTGGGTAGCTGCCTACGCGCAGTCACAGAGGAGTGAAGAGGAGTGGGGAGGAGAGGGGGAGGAGTGGAGGGGAGTGAAGGGAAAGTGGAGCGGTTCCCGGGTATGTTCACCACCAATTTACATCAGCGCCATAACCTGTGCTACAAAATCCATCCCTCATCGTCTGTACAAGGAAGAATGAGGAATGAATGAACTAGCACAAGGTTGGGTACAACTAAGAAACCCTAGGAAACTGTACCCCATAGTGTCTACCCCACTATAGCCTAGACAAGCTATATGATATGAGTTTGACACACCCCCATAGGCAAAGTGGGGGAGAACAAGAGGTCACAAGACCAGTCAAGCAAAGCAAAGCAAGCTCAGGGTGGATCACAACATCACCACACAATCCGAGCACAAGAGCAAGGCCACAAGGCCAGTTCACATGCGAGATCATATATAAAGGTAAACAGGCAAGTGCAGGTAAAGAAAGATCACAGTACAAGCAAGGTCAAGAAGTGAGCAAGTGAGGCCACGTAGACACAAGACCAAGCATCGTACAGAAGCGCTGATGATCACCAGGCGGAAGTGCCTTGGTAAAGATATCAGCAGTGTTGGCCTCAGAGGCCACGTAAGCAAGGCGCAGCTGACCACGCTGCTGCAGCTCACGAGCAAGGAAGTAGCGGAGAGCAATGTGCTTCGTTCTGTGCTCTAGTCTATGCTCCCGACACAAGGCCAGCATGGCCTTGTTGTCTACGTACAGAACTGGAGGAGAACGAGGCGGCTCTCCTAGGTCAGTCAGCAGGAAGGTGAGCCAGCATAGCTCCTGTGCAGCCATGGCCCCCGCGTAGATCTCAGCCTCACAGCTGGAGCCGAGAACAGAAGACGAGCGGGTAGACCGCCACAAAACAGAGCTGGAGCTAAGGCTGAAGGTGTAACCCTATGACGACCGCTGCGTAGCCTGGTCGTCAGCCCAAGAAGCGTCTGCGTGACCTGTGAGGACCACTCGACGTTGCCCTCCAAGCACTAGCCCCATGCCCGACGTACTGCACAAGTAGCGCAACACCCTCTTCGCTGCAGCCATGTGCTCTGGTCGGTGTCTCCCAGGAGCAACATAGCGTGCCAAGATGCTAAAAGGGTATGCAAGGTCAGGTCGTGTGCAGGTCATCAGGTACATGAGGCAGCCAACAAGCTCTGGGTACGGGCCACTCAGCTCTACGGACTCATCCGAAGGCAGAGCTGAGAGCGAGTGGCGAGTAGACAGAGGAGTGGCCTGAGGCGAGGAGTACGTGAAGTCGAAGCGCTGAAGGACCTGCTGCACCATGTGTGACTGAGTCAGGGTAATGGTGCGCTGTGCTCTGTGTCGGGTGATCTGCAAGCCAAGGTAGCTGCGCAGTTCACCCAGGTCTGTGCATGTGTGTCTCTTCTGCAGCTCGGACTTCACGTGGGCGAGTCCAGTAGTGTCAGCAGTGGCAAAGACCAAGTCGTCGACATACACGATGATGTAGAACGGCGGCAAAGAGGTGTCGGTGCGTAGAAACAGCGACGGGTCGGCAGTAGAAGGAGCAAACCCAAGAGCCGCAAGTGTAGTCCTCACTGTGTTGTGCCACTCACGGGGCGCCTGGCGGAGACCGTAGACTGGACGCCGGAGGCTCCACTGGGTACCAGGGGGAAAAGACCCAGTGAATCCAGGTGGGCGGCGCAGCCAGATCTTCTCGTGCAGGCTGCCATGCAGGAAAGCTGTGCTGAAGTCAAGAGAGTGAAGCTCGTAGTCGCGCTGAGCGGCAATGTGTAGCAGCACCCGAAGAGTGGTCATCTTCGGGGTGGGAGAGAAGGTCTGAAAGTACTCAACTCCCTGCCGCTGACTGAAGCCTCGAGCCACGTAACGCGCCTTGAAGACAGGCGGAGAACCCGGCGGCCGCTTCACCCTGAAAATCCACATGCCACTGACGATGTTCGCCCAAGGTGGGGGAACCTCGTCGACGTAGGCGCCTGTGGAGTTCCAGGAAGCCATCTCTGCGTCCATGGCTGACTGCCACTGTGAGGAGTAGGGACCCTCGATCGCCTCAGCGTACGATCGAGGAGTCGGGATGTCTGGTGCATCCGGGTCTCCCTCAGGGGCAATCAGCGTGGACACGAGAGGAGGCAAAGCAGCAGCAAAACATTGGAACTCCTCCTGCCTGTCCTCAAGGACGTCCGTGCTGAGCGCACACTCTCCCCCGACGGACGGAGGACAGACAGACTCAGACTCAGCAACAAGACTAGCAGCGTAGTCTAGACGACAGCGAGCAGCAAAGTCGACAAGCTCAGCAACTAGGGCAGACGCTGTAGTGGACTCAAAGGAAGGGTCAATAACAACAGTAGCCAGAAGACGCGTGACAGTAGGACTGGCAGCACGAAGAGAGTCCGACTCCGGGTCAGCAAGAATAGGAAGAGAGGACTCTGGAGGAGACGGCAACGGGACACGCAAAGGAGCAGTGGAAGAACGCAGCACCATCTAGTGTGTCCCTAGGACCGCAGGAGGACGCGGACGCGGAGCACGACGACTAGTGCGAGCAGCACGAACAGGCGACGCAGGACGAGACGCAAGCGCACGACGCTCAGCAAGACCTTCAGTAGGACCAGTGTAGGGAGAGGGAGCAGGTCGGGGGGAGGCGGGCTGTAACTATGACTGCGACTGGACAGGCTGTGGACACTCTAAGGGAGGAGTAGGACCAGTAGAAGGCGGGAGACCAAGAACCTGCTCAAGGAGCGAAACGAAGTACGGCCGTGGCCGCTCAGCGCCTCCAGAACAAGCAGGGACAGCACCAGTACCCCCACCAGCAGCACTAGCGCCAACTCCAGCACCCTCAGACGCACCAGCGCCAGCAGAACCACCAGCGCCAACACCCCCAGCAGCTCCAGCTCCAGGAGGACCGGCAGCTCCTGTACCGCCAGCAGCTCCAACAGCACCCCCAGCAGGACCAACTCCAGCAGCCCCAGCAGCACCCCCAGTCCCAACAGCTCCAGCACCGCCAGTACGAGTACCTCCGGGACCAGCCACAACATTAGTACCTCCAGCTCCAGCAGCACGGCTCTAGTGCCGGGCAAACCACTCGCGCAGCTCCTGTGGAGAGAGTGGCTCCCGCCTCGACGAAGCATCGCGAGCGGCCACACGAGCAGACCCAGCACCTCCAGGCTCCGCACCCCCAGGCTCCGAACCCCAAGGCTCCGCACCCCCGGGCTCAGCACCCCTAGACTCAGCACCCCCAGGCTCAGCACCC